ATCAGCGCATCATCAGACCACATCAATAATGAATGTGCTTTGGAGACGTAAAAGTCCACAATTCAACTCAGCGCATTTCAGCAAACAAATTGAACCAACGCTGAACAATCTCCCCATTCCTACAGGACAGAAAACAGGTTCCTAGCACTATTGTAAACATCTCCTAGCAATATTACATTCAGCTCCTTTGTTGCCGTTCTCTGATTAAGTCACTAATTCACCGGTTTATTTTTTATTTTTTTCCCAATACCAATCAAGACGCAGACTGTGCCGCACGACAACAAAAAACACAAACAAGAAAAAGTCCTCGTCGTGACTTGTACAAAGTGCTTTCCATGCGCTATTTGTCTCCTCGCCTTATCGGGGAGGACATACCCACGCCGAGCAGGCCCATTCATCTTCGTAGCCTTTTGAAGTATCTCCCATCCAATCAGCCTGACGTCTTTTTATTATGGCCAGTGTATCACAGAAGATATGTGGGTGACTTTGCATTCCCCTTCAGCGAGTTTATGATTATAGACGTACATGAAATATTGTGCGGTGTGGAGGCCCGGGCGGGGGAGAGGAGAGAGCTGGTCGGCGGGGCAGACGTGAGTGACAGGCAGGGAGATGACGCAAAGACAAACAGTGATTAGTCCACCTGGTTCTGGGCTTCAAACGTATACAGTACACCAACACAGGCTCTTTGTGTGTCATGACATATTGTGTGTCACTCCTTGAAGAAAACATTGTATTTTTTTTTTCTTTTTTGGATTTTCTAACATAAAGCATTTCAACCTCTAGTTTTTTTTTGTCTTTTATAGGCTTTTACCAAACGTTACCAAATTGAGATGCCCCAAAGAGGGACATTTCAGTTCCTAACTTCCACTAAATGTTTGAGGAAACCATTGAAGGGTTGAAGCTGGGGTACCTTAAAAGAAGGTAATTCAATCTATAAACTAGTTCCTTGCTCTCAAAACTATTTGGTTCTAGCTTCTTCAGACAGACAAGTGAAAGACAGAAGAACAATCAGCTCTCAGCCCAAAAGTGTCAAATTCGGCTCTTTCTACACTATGTAAAAGGTGACATCTTTTTTTATGAGATGAAGGCACTACTGCTGCAAGACTCTTTCTGGACAAACAACACATGTTATTTATGAAAATACCCTGGCATATATGAATATTATAGTGGAGGCGTGTATAATGAAAGATCTAAGATTAGATTTAGTTAGGTTGATAACTGTAATCACCTCCTGTGACATCCCACGATTATGGAGATTGGCAACATTTAGAGGGAATGGAGGCAAGACATTTTTTGAAAATGTACTGTGTTGTATGAAAATAGGCTTATAAAATAGGCAAGGTAAGTTTAATTGTATTGCACAGTTCATACACAAGGTTTACAACAAGACAGACAAAATCATACAAGGCATTAGAATCATAAATGTCCACGATACATTTAAAAATAATAAAGATGCGATCCTTCAGCTGGATTTGAACATGTCTCACATTTTCAGGAATACTGTCCCAGATTCTCGCCGCAAAAAATCTGAAATGCTGTCTCCCCATGTTTAGTTCTGACTCCGGGCACCAGCAGGAGTCCCGTCCCTGTGCTCCTCAGAGTCTGAGTTGGTCCATAAGTCACTGACATGTCAGGGATGTATTAAGTGCTAGGCCATGGAGAGAGCTGCTTAAAATACTATTGTTCAATTGATTACTTTAATTTACTAATTGACAATATGAGCACAAAAAATAGCACAAAATAGTACAAAAGAGCACATTAAGCAGTCAAATAAAAATAAACTAAAACGTTGAAATGATATTACAGGTCATACAACTTTTGGTCAACAAAATACACAGATAAATACTGTGTATATATTTAACAGTGAGTAATATTTGTGCATAAACAAGAATAGATTAATATAATATTGTATTTGCTTTTGTCCCTATGAGGCTAACTATGACATAGGAAGAATATATTTGGATATTTCAAAAAAAAGGCAGGATTATGCAACTTGTCAAAAGTGTCTGGCTTTGCCCACACTGTGCTGCTCCAAACACACTGTCTCGAGTCCATTCTTATTTATCTGTGAAAAATAAATCTGCTCGGACATGACCAGCAATAAGTCTGTATGTGGAGTCTGAGATGTGTTAGGATCTGAATGTGTAGCAGGTGATGGTCATGTAAAAATTAAGAGAAGTTCCATTAAAAAATAGATATTTGGAAGGCTTACAATTTGCCCTTTACCAAGTAATTCTTTGAAATGCCAGATCTATTTTAGTGCCGTACGAATGTGCTGCCAATAACAAAACATTTTGCTCAAGGAATCCAACCTTTTGGCAAATTTTCAAAACAGAGATATCTGTTTTTTCCAAATGAACAAATAATTGAGGCAAAATACAATACATTACACTGTGTACATTACAGATGCTATACCCGATTTTCTTTTTCATGAGTTCATAAAAATGCTTTTTACTACATACAAGTTGTATTATAATCTGTAGTTTAATTGAAAACTTGAGCTCATTGACTCAGCTTGTGTATGAATTGAGGCCGTAAAAAAGGCTGAGTAGGAGACTTAGCGTGACGCCCGCTCTCCTCCAATTACAGAACAAGGCTGCGTCCTCTAGCCCAGGGGTTCCCAAAGTTTTTAGCCCGCGACCCCCATCATAAATGCCCTGCTAACCCGCGACCCCCGCCCCCCCCAACAGCCCTTCCGTCACATGAAATGAGCATGTATTTCCTTGATACGGAGTAACGCTTTCTAGAGACTCACGCCACTACCGAGCTGCACTGTCCAGCCCAAAAAAGGAGGCTTGCATATTTTTACTCATGTAGTGACACAGTGATGGGCTTGGTGGGCTCCCTCCTCAGCAGAAGTGGAGCGCATTTCTTGCGGCTCGCCCTCACTGTTCTCCTACCGCGGTAAAGAGGCCCGGCTTTCCAGAGTCAGCGGTAAAGAGGTCCGCACATTAAAAGCGGGCGGCCGCTTTCTGCTGTTACTTTATGCGGTTCATCCCCACGGCTTCTCTTTCCAAAGTTACTGTCAGTAAAGGCATAAACCGGCCACCCGCTTTTAATGTGCGGACCTCTTTACCTTTGACTCCGAAAAGCCGGGCCTCTTTAACACGCTGTTCTACCGCTGCCCTCTCTCCCTCCACTGCCCTCTCTCCCTCCACTGCCCTCTCTCCCTCCACTGCCCTCTCTCCCTCCTCTGCCCTCTCTCCCTCTCTTCGCACCATCAGCCTGACCCCTGATACAAGTGACTTTTCTCCCCCTCCGGGTTTTTCTGTTGTGGATATGAACCACGTTTCATTTTAAAGCAGGTATTATTTATTTGTAGCCTCCAAACACCTTTAGTGTTAGCAAACAACAGCAGGACACGCTTTGTCGCTGCGCATGATGTGAGCTGTGTTACGTGATGATTTTGATTGACGCTGCAATGACTGGGACAAAATTACTAACGTTATTCAAATATATTATAGTCTCCAAACACAATTTAACAAGTAGTCCTTTTGAATCAAATCAAATGCTAAATAAATATTTAAGGGCTTTATATTTGCTCAAAAAAAAAAATTTTTTTGTTTGTGTGGAAATCATCTTGCGACCCCCCCAGGGGTTCCCGCGACCCCCCGGGGGGTCGGGACCCCCACTTTGGGAACCACTGCTCTAGCCTCTACAGCGCTGCTAAACACAGTAGCATGTTAGCATAAGTGGCTATAACTCTTCTGGCTGTAACTGCAGACACAGCAAAACAGCCCAAACCACACAACAGTGAGGAAGAGGAGAAGGAACTAAAGCGAAAAAATTATCAAAGAAGAAATCAAGCCCGGGTGAACATAGCTAGCTAAGGACTTATTAGTCTCAAACTAGTTCGAAAGTAGGATTGTTACTTCCGGTTTTGTTCCGATTTCGTATATGATCTAGTGCCAACAGAGAGACCTGCGGGACCGCCTCGGACTATCTATGCTCAGACTACATTAGGACGTGAAACTAGCGGTAATCTTTCAGTTATATATTTTGTTAGCAGTGCGTTGCTTTTGTACCTTTTCATCAGTGATTGTTGTATAGCTTACAAGAAGTTGCGCTCTGCTGATGTTTGCATATAGATCGCAAATACAACTAGATGGCTCCGTGGAATGAGAGCATAGGGGAAACATTCAAACCTTGTAGAAACGGGTATAGCTCCTTTAATGCATTCACCATATGAACAAATTCATCTTAAAGTCTTACAACCTGTACATAGCCTTACTATAACAATTTTCTCTTTAACTGGAAAAATTATATAGCCTATACAATAAATCTAGTTTTTTTTTTAGACCATCCCCTGTGTGCAAAAGAGGTTTGGGACACGTGATGATCTCCAGAGGTGATGACGCAGCACACATTCCTGCCTCCTGCTGTGTTTATGTGAACAGCAGAGAGCCGGCACAAGGACAGATGGGTCCTCGAGCCACCGCCCGACTCTTTATACCACCTGGTTTTTTATGGGCCTTAAAGTGTCTATTTTCAGAATCTGGTGTTTAAAGCTGCGGTAACTAACTTCCTCACTCTCAAAACCATTTGGCTCTATTTCAGTACTTTATACACACACACACACACACACACACACACACACACACACACACACACAAACACACATTTTTAATTTTTATTATTTTTTTAGTGTTAACCCCCATTCTAATTCCCAGCTCTTGCCGGAGACTTCTCGCCGCCTCTTTAGCTTTAGTTTTGAGGTCTTTGGTTTTCAGGTCTGTTTCTTGGGGCATGGAGACTCTTCGCTCCACCTCACGCAGTCGCAATGTGTCGCTTGTTCCCTAATGTCCAGGGACACGGGGGATTTGTCCAAAAGCTTTCGGATCATTGTTGAAACCATGAAGTGAGCGGGTATCGGAGCTGACGTCCTCTGTTTCTGGTGGGACGGTTTTCTTTGGTGAACTGACAGTTTCTGAAGCACTGCTCAAGTCCTGGAGGTTTGGGGTTTCTGGAGCAGGAGGGTCTTGGATAACCTCAGGTGTGTTATGGTCCTGCACCAGACTCTCAAGGTCAAGAGAAGAGATGAGGTCCAGGGACGAAGGAAGATCTACTGGACTGTCCTGCTCTGGAGAAGTCTGAGCCACAGTGCAGAGGGTCTGGACTAGATCCTCAGAGAAAGGCACCTCTGTGATTGGATTCTCTGTGATTGGCTCCTCGGGGAAAGACATCTCTGTGATTGCTCCACGGGGACAGGTACCTCTGTGATTGGCTCCTTGGGGATAGGCACCTCTGTTATTGGCTCGTTTTGGACAGGCACCTCTTTGATTGGCTCCTCCGGAACAAAATCCTCAGAGACAGGCTCCTCCAGGATTAGTTCCTCAGAGACAGGTACCTCTCTGATTGGCTCCTCAGGGAAAGGCACTTCTGTGATTGGCTCCTCGGGGACAGGCACCTCTGTGATTGGCTCCTCGGGGAAAGGCCCCTCTGTGATTGGCTCCTCGGGGAAAGGCCCCTCTGTGATTGGCTCCTCGGGGACAGGCACCTCTGTGATTGGCTCCTCGGGGACAGGCACCTCAGGGAGAGGCACCTCTGTGATTGGCTCCTCGGGGACAGGCACCTCAGGGAAAGGCACCTCAGGGAAAGGCACCTCTGTGATTGGCTCCTCGGGGACAGGCAGTATCTTTAAACTTCTGCCGGGCCTCGAGCTTCTCTGTCTCTCACAGTTTGAAGACCCTCTGCTGGAAGAGGAGCTCCTCAGAGGGGGACAGCTTAGGGTTGTCCAGCTCCATCTGCTCTTTGAACCCCATCACGTGCAGAATCGCCTCTGCTGCCTGGAGCTTAGCCGTCTTCTTGTTTGGACCCAGGCCTTGACATGTCCTCTGGTCCACGCTGACCTCCATGCAGAACTCGGACGCATGGTAGCCACAGTGTTGGAAGCCGACCACCCTGTACTCGGCCAGCCTCTGCTTCCGCACCATCAGGATCTCTGCCAGGGCACTGATGGGGTCTTTCTTGTAGAAGAAGTAGACCCGCTGTGAGGGGTCCAGCAGCTCCATGTGGGGTTTGGACCAGTATGGAGTCACGTTCTCTGGCAAAGGACGCTTCCTCAGCTGATGCAAAACCATGTACCTTAGCTGCACCTAGCTTGGCGTTTTGTTTGGTGGGGCCTGAACCAAATCCCACCACGTCCCCTTCTCTCAGCTGTATGTGGAAGGTCGGTGCATGGCAAGGGCCTTCTTTTCCCATCTCATTAAACTGCAGCTGCAGGTGGTGCAGTAATGCCAGTTCGTACAGGAGGGACAGGTCAGTCTTGTGGACTTCACTGGGGAGTCAACGCTGCATGTTGTCTGTGTTTGTGTTTGCTTCTGTTTCTATAATGTGATGAAATAATACACTGTTGTCGGACAGATTTTCACTTAGCCTGTTTACATATTCCTGAGGTAACCTTTTAATGCCAACATTCTAGAATGACTTCATAAAGACAAGCTGGGTTACCATGACAACATAGCAACCGTCGTCAGGCATGTGCATAGAGGGACTTCTCTTTGAAAATTTCCTGTTGTTTTTATCCTGTATAATGTTTAATCACATGGTTGTTTCTGTAATGAACTAATAATATTTATTTTGTTGCCGGTGCGTGACGTGAGAACTTTGCCGCCGCTGGAGCCCATGCAGGACTGTCTGTGTGCAGGACATTCGCGTGAGCGCCCCCTGCAGGTTCTGCTGTGACATTCAACAGGTCTCAGCGCAGTCAGAGGTCTTGTCACGTTTCATTGATTTCATCCAAGTCTTGACAAATGAGCAAAGTATCATCAACAAAAGAATCTAATGTTGAACGTGGAATACTTTAAACTACGCGGTTAACCGGTTTCAACTGGCTAATGAGGCTCAGTGGTGGGTCATGAGAATTAATAGTTTTTTACATCCCCACTCCAGAGTTCATCCTCTTTTTGATTATCTATGAATGAATGAATCCTTTATATCAAGCATAAAAAAGTAACAATTTAAATGTATCACCAACTTGGGCTATCCTAAACATTATTGTAAACAATAAATATGAATCAATAAATTACATATTTTCTAAAATGAAGTTACGCTCTTCTATAAATAACATTATATCTTTACTGATCTTTGGCTCAGTAGGTTTCTCACAGTCGACAAAGTCCTCACAAATCAAAGAGTTTATCAGTATTATGACCGGGGTTTAAGTCCAACTGTTTTGACTCTGAAAGAGACCAGAGAGAGAGACCATACAGAGACCATACAGAGACCAGAGAGAGACCAGAGAGAGACCAGAGAGAGACCAGAGAGAGAGACAATAAAGAGACCAGAGAGAGACAATGACACAAAAAAACGTTATTACATGAAGGTCTTTCCTAAAACTAAATATAATTCCAAAAAGTGTTCTCCTCTTTGCTTTGTTCAAATACTCAAACTCACTGGACACATCACCCCAAACCTGGACACGAAGCTGAAGGTTGTGGACAGTGTTTGTGCACGAACGACCTCAAGATTAGCGCGCTAACCACAATAGAGCGAGTTATTAGGACCTGTGTAAATATCACTCTGCACCTTATCCATTTACCTTTTAAACTTCACATTGCACTTTAGTAGCACTGTACACATATTTTAACACACTAATTTGCACATATAATGAAATGCACACAACTGTTGGTTTTTAAAACATTTATTGAAAAAGCAGTTTGTCCCGAATCCGATAGTTTCGGTAATGGCGGCCGCCGGTCCGCGGAGACAAATAAAATAACCATTTGAATTGGGCTTTGTGCAATATATGTGGCGTATTTTAAATTAGCTGTGTTTGGTGTGGGTTCGGGTGTGTGTGATGTGGGTTGTAAGTAAGTAAGTAAGTAAGTTTTTATTTATATACCGCCTTTTCACTGCAGATCTGAGTCTCAAAGCGGTTTACAATTGTTAATTTTGGGCATTTGTCTCTCACTCCACACAGAGATGGGAGCGGGGTCGCCAGTACAGGAAGAACATGCCAGAACTATTGTACATATTTTTAGTGGTAGGGGAAACCGGAGTACCCGGAGGAAACCTACGCAGACACAGGGAGAACATGCAAACTCCACTCAGAAAGGCCCTGGTCCGACCGGGATTCGAACCCAGGACCTTCTTGCTGAGAGGCGAGAGTGCTATCCACTCAGCCACCGTGCCGCCCAATAGTAGCGGGTGAATGTAGCGGGTGAATGATATAAGTGAGGCTGTGTGATGTATTTTAAAAATGTTACTCACCACTGTCTTGTGTCCAGGTGCGTGGGCCAAAAGAGTCTTCGGGATATAACCACCAGCATTTATGGTTCCGGCTGGACCAAGTCAATGAATTGGTGGAGGGGGGATTTAGCACTGTTTTAATCATAGTTTGTAAATATATATTTTTATAGGTGGGTGTTTTAGGAGTATATTTTTGTAGGGGGGTGTTTTATTAGTCTAGTTGGTTGTGGGTATTTTAATGGAGGGTTATAACATAGTTTTAGTAGCTAATGTTAATGGTACACCACTGGAGTTTTATTTGGATTTACCCAGTAGTATATAAGCGCCATGTTCATCATTTCACTGTCCTGCTGCTGGGGAACACACGCTCCTGTCCTCCATTCACTGTGTTACTTTGTTTTGCATTTTTGCACCCTTTTGTTTTTGTTTGCACTTGGTCACTTTAAAAAAGAAGAAAAAGAAAAGAAAAATAAGTGGACCAAGCCAAGCCTGCCTCCGTCAACCTTTTGTTTGTTCTTTCTCACTGCAGTTTTTTTTCTGTACAGTCACCTCTGGGAATGTATTTGAGTTTGTGAGAAAATTGGTGACATATGAAAAGTGTGTGTGTGTTAAAAGTGTGTTAAGGTAGTTCCGTGCATGACCATAACAACCGTAACAAGCTTTTTCGGACGAAGTGTTTCGGCCCCCGACACACATTTTCACTAATTGTAGACATTTTGGGACATGCTTGATTTTTTTGTGTGGAGCTTCATCTGGGCCTCTAAAACATTATAGTATGCATGGAAAAATGGGGACTTAAAAAAAGTCCCCATATTTTTCTAACGATGTGGGGACGTGTTTTCTATCGATGTTGTGGTCAAATTTGTTCACACAATTTCACATTTTTACTCTTTCTATTGAGACAAACACTGTGTATTAAGAAGATAGTTCTGTATCCTAGCTTTAAGAGGAGCTCTACACACAACATATTTCACAAACATATTGGAGACACACCTGAAAAGTGAGACCATGTTATTAAAGAGTGAATCTTGTCATATAGAAGAGTTACTGCTGCCTTTAGGGAGACAAAACGAAAGAAATCAAATATTAGGACAGGCTCTTGTTGGGATTGAGGATGCTCCGAGTGACATAACACTATTGAACAGAGGGCGGAAAAACGGGAGCGTTCAAAGCCTCCCGACCGCAGACGGCCGAGTGCATTGCTTCTCTGATGTCTCTGGAGGGGGGTCCTGTCACCAGCAGCCCCCCGCACCCCCACGTCATAGATAAGAGGCTGGAATGGGGCCGGGATGTTTGGCATTGTGCGGCGGTCGGCATCACTACAACTCTATTAGTGGCTGAGCATGAAATTACACGGGCTCCGGAGAAGACGGAGCACAGTAGGACGGATTAGGCTCAGTGTTGCGTGGTGTCATGAGTTACACACGAACGCCAGCTCTGTCTGTTGGAAAAAGTATTCAGATGGGAACAGCTTGTGCCTGTTGGTTTAGCAGCTGGGATTAGAGTGCGTATACAGTAGACAGTGGACAGGCTGATAAGGTGTAAAGTAATGGTGATGGATGGACATGAAGAGTGTATATCAAAGATTAAGTATCCAATATTCATACAATACAAGATGGGGCTAGTATGAAGTCCATGTAGGTTTTAGATTGGATACATTTTAATAGGGAATTGGGGTGGGACTAAATAAGTTTTCTTCTTCCGGACTCCTTTGAGGCAGAATTAGTTATGTTTTTTGGCAGTATATACTGTACATTCACTTTTTTTTCCCATATTTCTGCACTAATGGCTTGACGTTACTCTATACCTTATACATATCTGCGCCACTTCCTGAAATAAATGAATAAATGACAAAAAGATATCTGTATACATATTTTAAAGCTGGTGTACCTAACTTTCAAACATTAAAAGATGAAGCTAGTATTAATCCATGTAGGATTTCTCACTTGCCTCTTGTCCAGGACTCACTTGAAAAATAGGTTCTTGATATCAATGGGCCTTACCTGGTTAAACAATAGAACAAATAATTTAAATGTATTTTAAGGCTCAGGTACCAGCTTTTACCAAGAACTTTTAAACAAGAAAATATGGAACTAGTATCAAATCCATGTAACCAGTACCTCAGTCTCAAAACTGTTTGTTTCTTTCGCCAGTTTTCACAAACGTACATAAAGTCTAGTAGATCACATCTTTAACTGAAAAAACAGAGGACCACCCTCACTCAACCAATCAGCTCTCAACCCACAAATAGTGACTCCCAGGGCTCAATTATGCGACAGAAAACAGGTTTACTAATGAGATAAGGACAGCGGTTTGTGGCACTTTGCTTTTACAAGTGGGACAAACAATGTGAATTATTATGAAACAAACGTTTGGTACCCCAGCTTTAAGTTGAAGTACATTTATACGGTTTTATGATTATCAGAATAATGAAAAATAAGGCTCCTCAAAGAGTCTCCAAAATGTTACAAGAAACTGGACACCTGAGAAAGTGCCGTATGAATGTTGCCTAATCATTATTTCACTAAATTCTAATGCATTTCATCTGCAATCTGTAAATTGTGAAAATCTGGGGAGAAAATCAGCATAATCTTGAAAGCCCTAATTAATAATTGTTGTTCTATTTTCCGTCTACATTATAAAGCCTCTTTTGAAGGACTCCGGCGACACTTTGATGAAAGGCTTGTGGCACAAACATTGGCACCGCTCCAGTTTCATCTGACAAGGTAACTTTTTTTCCTCTCTGGGCCTGTTTAGTTATTTAATGGCTCCAAATGAGATGGGTGGAGCGCTGCATCTGGACGCATGGCATGTCGGAGCACAAGGTAGTCTGTCCAGAGAGCGGCGAGCGGAATATAAATCAGTCCACTGTATCCTCCAGCTCCACTAATGCTGCTTTAGCTCCACACAGGACTGCATTCATTAAGCTGTGATTATATAGGGGTTTGAGGGAGAAAGTCCAGAAGTCAATATGTCAAGGGATAATTACTGCAGGTGTTCGCAAACGTTTTTTTTTCTCGAAAGCACTGTTTTGGTTTGAGTTGCATACAAGGTAAAATGGCAAACCTCCAGTATATGTGTGTTTAATTTTGTATTGGTTTGGTAATTTGGTGGTGGTCATTATTTCCATTAAATTAATTGTATTATTCAGTTTTACAGTAATTATCTTGGAGGACTTCAAACTGTCAATTCGCCAACATGGAACAGAGAATCAAACAGTTCAAACATTGGAAAGGCAATGATTAAAAACACATGAATAGATTGAAATTGAAATTCATTAATAGGCAATATCAGTGTTTTTTTCCTTACAACAATTTGTCATTTGGTGACATCCCTCGCTCTTATCCAGATTTACTTATTAATTTAGTTGGGAGCCAATTTGGATGACAAAAACAAAACATTTCTGAAACAAAATTATTCCAAAAGACTAGAAGAGCGTTAGCCTGGTCGTACCACACCATAGTACACATTACATTTCATACTGAGGTCTGGAGGTGCTCCATTGAGCTTCGTGGACAAGTTGGAGGGGTTAACTCTTTTTGCAGATTGAAACGATTGGATCTGAGTTTACCGTGATGTATGTAATGCGCCCGAGTCTGTTATTAGCATTTAGCTTAGCCATCTCCTTTGCCGCTAACAGAGCCCGTGGGCAGTAGCGCCACAATCTTTACTTGCGATTACTTTTGCTAAACATTCCTCTTGCTCCGGCGTCAATTTCTTGATAGAGCCAGACCGGAACACTTTACTATTGCATTCTTCGCCACCGCCAAACCACAACCTGCCCTATCGGCGCAAACTCTTGACGTCACCGGCACCGACCTAGAACGCGCTCGCTGATTGATCGGTCGAAATTCAGCCGATTGTAATCGCTAAGACGGGGACCAGGCCCAGACTGTTACATGCAGTGAAATGATGATTGAGCGGAGTGTACGGATGGCTAAGGCTAGGCTAGGCGAGCGTTGGGAAGGGTGGGTGAAGCGTCACCTTTGAACCTTTGGTCCATCCATTCTTGAATTTCGAATCTCACAGAAACCTGAAATACAATTAAAGTTGCAGACATCCCCTTTAAACAATGATAATTACACTAACATTCAGTGAGATATTCTAATTCTTGTAGAAAAACTGCTTCTTGTGGAACAAATAGTTATTGACCAAATGTCCATATTGTGTGTAATGAGGCGAGAATAAATGCTGAATCAATGGATAATGGTGTTTGTGTGCTGCAGGGAGCCAACCTCAATGCATTTAAACAATCCATATGGAAGCATTATGGAATGTGACCTATATTATATGTATGATGTTGCTGCCACCACAAGACACTGGTCATATCCACATACTGTAGCTGTAAACAAAGCAACACTTCCAGTAGAGACTGCTGCTGTAGAACACAAGTTTTGGCAAATGATTTATTCAATTGTCAACTTTTTGAAAAGAAAGATGTGAGAAATGTCAAACCAGGAGTACAAGGTCAGGTCTAGGCCACAAAGAAAGGCACCACATCAGTTATATTTGAGATGTCTTGAATGACAGTTTGGGTTGAATGGTTGAGAAAACATTTACTTGATATTTGAATATTGAGCTTTCTTCACCAGACATTTTAGTGACTTTGGTCAATATTCAACCAGTAGAATCAATACTTAACTTAATTATCAAATCGCCCAGCCCAAGTAGATTGTCAAAGAGAACATAGCACTTTTCTGTTGGCTATTACAAGAGATGACGCCCGTTGCTTACTATTATACAATGAACCTACACTGGTCCCTGCAATCCCAGTGAAGGGTGGTCACATCAAGATAAGATTAGATATACTTTATTGATCTCACAATGGAGAAATTTACAAAAGTTACAGTACTCCTTAATACTGCCGAAACCCGGGATCGAACTAGGGACTTTTAGCTCTTCAATTTCAGAACACTCTCCAAACTGAGCTATTTCTGCACTACAATCATCCATGTTGTTTTTCTTTCACGAAAATAGACTGCCCAGGGCTGACAAAGAGAATGAGTCCTGGTAACCAATTTGTCAGAGGAGCCAGAGAATTTACTGTAAATGACTCAAACATGCATGAATCGTTATAATAACTGTGAGTTATTATAATATCCATGACAAAGGAAAGAAAAAAATCACGGTCAAAAGCTGTGAAAAGTAACAACCCCTTTGAATGCATTTTTCATAATATCCTTGCTTCATTCTGTAGACAGTGGCAACGTCTCCAATGAAATAGTGTGAGAAGTATTGATTCTATGCAAACCGCTGTCGGCATAATTTCTGGCACGTGGCCCAGCTCGATTCATTCCGCGGTGCTGTGCAGGCAGAGCTCTCATCACTGGACAATAATTTCCACATTTTACACCCGGATGCCCGTGCTTAGACTGGCCCTGTTTGATCAGCCTTATGCAAAGTGACAGTACCTGATGGGAAACGCAATCCAAATACCCACGGAGCAACTGGTGTGGCTGGGTTTTAGACAGAAGCCCGAGCGAGAAGAAGGGAGAGCGACCTCTGTTGTTTGTCCGTTCAATTGATAATTACCATCCATTGTGCCGTAATGGCTTCATTTTGCAGCCTCACGAGACATAATGCACCTTGAAATTGAAGTCGAAATTGCATCTGAGAAATATGAAGGAGCATTTCGACGGTTGCACATGTTTGATCTGTTTTTGTTTGATACTGTTAGAAATGTTACGACTATTTACACTGTAATTTTTTTAATCAGTTTATTAATGAAAAATATCACTACTGAAGGTGAAACCTTCAGCTAACTACTAATACAATACTATTACTATTATATCACCAACTACAAGAGCCTCGTTCCCACCATGCAAATTAATGGGAATTTGTGCTGCACTTTCCTTTATAAAGTTGTTTCAGATTCCAAATTTAAGATAAACTGGGCATAGTACATGGTTGTGTCGTGATTCCCTGGGGTCGGTTTGAGGTAAACTGGGCTGTAACTTTAGAAGACTTCTTTCAAAAGTAAAAAGTGTGTTTTGACCTGCTGAAACAGATTTATGTTATTTGCCATTTGCAGAAAAAAACACACTGGAATGCATGTGCAAGACGTTAAAAAAGTAAAACAAAAAAGAAAACAGGCAGATTCAGGTCCAAACAGTTGATACTGGTCCAAACAACACGCCCGCCAAGCTTTCCCACAGTTGTCCCGAGTCGACACAATATTTCCCCTGATTCCTTTTCATTTTAGGTGCTGTGACTTATAATTGTCTCCCTCTACATATTTTACCTTTATTTATGATACATTAAATAGTTGGCAGTAGCATTCAACCCACAGATTATACCTGAATCATTGAGAAAACAATTCATGCTGGTTTTTGCCTTGAAAATCACAATAACACAATATCTAGAGTACAACATGTAGGTGTGTGTATAAATATT